AAATCCGAAACTGTGGTGGCTGATCATGCATGATGATTTTTCCAACTTGTCTGGCAAACTTCTGAGGATAGTTTTCAGTCCACTGTGACATCTTCACAGTGTGGCCATCTACCTTGGTGTTTCCTGCAATCGGCCGGTGGTGATGTTGGCCGGAGCATACTTTGCCATGCAACGCAACATGCAGGTCCTTTGAAGTTGAGAGGACAGTCAATCGCTTTCGAGCAGCTTCACCAGTCTGGGGATCTTTTAGGTCTCCCATTCGGCACATATCAAACTCATTCCAAAAGGTTTGTTGCAAAATCTCATTCATGTTGGGAACTTTGCAGTATGTCGAACCCCTTGGTTGTTCAAGATCAAAGTGTCCATGATGAGAAATTTGATACCGAAAAAGAACTATCCCCAATGCAATTTGCCACAGATGCTCCAATTGCTGTTGTAAAACAGTTTCACATCCCTGAAGTGATCGGTTCATGTTGAAGTTGCTCCATTGACACCATGGCTTGCAAACTGGACTGTACCATAAATGTTTGGGATTGCCCATGACCATTCTGTTGAACAAACGTCGACGACCCTCACTTGTTTGGAGATCACCTTGCACCCTACCAAATCGCTCAGCCCGTCCTCCCTAACGTTGGACTTGCTTAGTGAGCTCACTGTCGGCTGAGCACATGACCTCCATCAGATCCAGGCGAGGCTGTTTGCGGACATGCTGGCAGTTATGATCCTGAATGACCATGTTCAATTCACGAGAAAATTGCTTGACATATCGCTGTATTTGAGCATGATACTGATTTCCTTTGGTGGTGTTTTGAAACTCAAAGTCCAGATCTGTCGCATTGGCCATACAACTTGGATCATTCGAGCGATCTATTCCTGTGGCTCGGTCTTCACACTCAGTCCACGGACATGCTGGAGAACTTCTTGAAGCACCATCTCCACTTGGGTCATGCGGTTGGTCATGTTCTGGTTCTGCATTTGCAGACTGGCCACCTGGTCCTCCATCTGGTTGATCTTGGACACACCTGGTATCTCGAACTCCTGACTGAGATCTGGTTCTGAGATCTCGTCCCAGCTGTTCACTTCGGCGGCCATCGTCTCGGTGGACTTCTTCGAATTGCCCTTGGTGGAAGGGTAACCCTTCTTGTGATTCTTCAGCGCTTCCTGGTTGAGGCGCTTCTCCACATATTGCACAAACAGTTGATGTGCCGGTTTTGGACTTTTCTCGTATGTGCTCACAAACCAGTCTGTCCACTGATGGTCTTGGAAAACCATTTCGAAGCTCTGACCGAGCTTCGCACGTCCGAAGGCGATCTTTTCCATTGCAAGTTCCTCCAGACTCATATCTTTGATCTTGGTGATCTCGTCCTTGGCATTGTCCTTCTCCTGGGACTCTCGAAACGACTTCAGCTTCTGAGACACACTGGCCATGGTCACCACTGATGCGGGAACTGTTCGGTGGCTTCGCACGATCTTGGTCACTCGCATTCACTGCAGAACTCGGAATTGAAGACATGGTTTCCTGTAATACCTCATGCACTTGCCTTTCTACTTGACATGTTTGTTTGCTTTCCAGATCATCTACAGGCTGAGTAAGCATGTTGGGCTCGGGAGAAGCAACTGTGATATCCACTGGTGCTGGATTGTTTTCACCTGTTTCGGACACAAACGTCAGACCTAGGTTTGCAGGTCGCTGTACCTGCTGCTGCTGATCTCCATCATTCCAAAGTTGACTAATGTCCATAAGAAACAAGTTCTTGTTGGTTTGCTCAATGGCCAATTCCTTGTTCAAAGTCTTACTCCACAAAGTACCTTGATCTGTGTCAATCACTGCCTTGATACCTTTAAGGAATGAACTTGAGATAAGAAATGGTGTCTTTCCCGGTACGATAGCAATTTTAAACTTGACTGGACCCAGCGGCAGCAAAATCGCATGTCGACACTGAAGTGTCTGTTGGTTCCCAAAACGGAACGTCAGGCTACAACTCGTGCGGGTGACTTGATCACGGATCTTGGAAGGCAAGCTGGCTAACAATTCAGGCACTTGTTGATCTTGTTGATCACCTACAACAGTTTGGGAAGCACCTAGATCGACTATGCCGGTGGTACCTGAAGTGGCAAACAGGATATCACTGCACGATGGTTCAGGCATTTTGCCCATCACGGATGCTTGGGAAAACTCAGGCTGTTTCACATTCGGACTCTCAGTTCTACGATCATCAGATGACATCTTCGTCCTGAGGTGTTGCTTCAGCTTCATGTGAAAACGGCTGGCAAACTTTTGAACTGGTGTCATGATTCTCCCCTTTATCCTATCCCCACTTATTCCATTATCCCAATTATGCATCATGCCAAAACATGCAACGGTCACATCAGGGTCCTGGCTTTCGGAAATGGCCAAGTTGATGAAATCGGCAGGCAAATCTTCGGCAATCACAAATGAGGTCGGAGCAGTGCTGGAGGTGCTGCTGGCATTCTGGGATGCAGCACCCTGCGTTCTCTGTGGGCACTCATTCTTCCAGTGGCCCTTTTGCATGCAGATCCTACAAAACGAGTTGGCAATCCTCTTTGCAAGGGAATTGGAGCCTGTGAATGGGCCTTTGCCCTTTGATTTCCCCTTGCCCTTCTTGCCGAAACCCTTTTCAAATCTACGATGCACTGGCCAGAAACCTCGGACTTTCACACGCTCGCTGAGACGTCTGCGAGCTTCTTGGTAACTGGAGTAGTAGGCGGACAACTCACTGTCAGCCTGAATGGTTTCTGCTATGGAATCTTCGAATTGCATCACCATGATCGCATCTTCATCGCTCTCTGCTGCCAGAGCCTCGAGCATCTCATCATCGGGACCCTCATCATGAGCAGCATACACTTCGCTTTCGATGTCCCACTCATCATCCACCTGGAGTGCAGTGTGATCATAGGTTTTCCCTGTTTTGTCACGTCGCATCCCAGTGTACTCTTGAAAGAACCCTGAACCCAGGAGTCTGATTGCAGAGGTCACCTTTTCCATGGTCAGCTGACCACCTGCCTCCGCCTTGGACTCGATGATCACCCTCTTTTTGTCGTCGGCTGACAACTTGCTACCCCGTAACACTATGTATGCTTGGAGTTCTTTGAGGTCAACCTTCTTCGACAGCAATTCTGTCCACAGGACATCACTGCGGGACAGATAGCTGTCCGATGTTTCGTCGGCCTTCTGAGAACCCCTGTACGGTGCACGTTCTGCCAACTCGAATTTCTTCTCAAGTGGGATCTGGCCCCATGTTCCACCAACGATCTCAACAAGTCTTTGTATTCCTTTGGCCTCTCCGGTCAGCACTTCACTACGGAGCAATTGCAGCTTCTGATATGCAGTACCTTTACAGCCAAGAATCAGCCTGGTTGCTAACTCATTGATTTTGTCGGTGGGCCATGTACTCAACAACAATTCAACTTTGCTGGTCCAGATCTCTACATTGTCAGTGGCTGGGTCAAATCCAGGAACTAAGCTTGCAAGCTCTTTTGGAACGTTTCCCGAAGAATCCCTACCACCTGCTGTTTCACTCATGGCTTCTCCTCAAAGTCCTCGTCAAGCTGTGCCTCACTTCAAGACGATGTCCCTGGGAGTTGGTGAACGAAAATCGTCCAGGTAGCTCCGCTACCAATCTCCAATTGGGATTGATAATCACCAACTGGGATTGGTAGGGAGGAATGTTGATGGATCCCTGATCCTATCACCTTGATGTCAACCTTGAAGATGATGTTAAAGTCCCTGACTTACCAACCAATGTCCAAACCCTGCAGGATCAACGGCCGCACCAGTTTTCCAATGGCACAAGCAACGATCCCCCCCCGCCGCAGGCAACACTGAGCCTATTCCCCGGCTACGGTGGGATTTGGCTTTCATTGAGGACCCTTGGATATTCATCTCGAACAGGCAGTGATTTGTGAATATATATACATACATATACATACATATACACACACACATACACACATACACATACATATACATACATATACACTCACACATACACATATAAACATACATATACATACATATACACTCACACATACACACATAAACATACATATACATACATATACATACATATACATATATACATACATATACACACATATACACACACATATACACACATAAACATACATATACATACATATACACACATACACACATAAACATACATATACATACATACACACACATATATATATACATACATATACACACACACATATACACACACATATACACACATAAACATACATATACATACATACATATACACACATACACACATAAACATACATATACATACATATACATACATATACATACATATACATACATATACATACATATACATACATATACATACTTGTCCATACTTGTCCATACTTGTCCATACATATGCATACATATGCATACATATGCGTACATATGCATACATATGCATACATATACATACATATACATACATACATACATGTACATACATGTACATACATACTACATACATACACATACATATGCCTACATATACCTACATATACATACATATACATACATACATATACATACATACACATACATACATACAGACAGACAGACACATACAGACACATACAGACACATACAGACACATACAGACACATACAGACACATACAGAGACATACAGACACATACAGACACATACAGACACATACAGACACATACAGACACATACATACACATACATACACATACATACACATACATACACATACATACACATACATACACATACATACACATACCTACACATACATATACATATACATATACATATAAATACATACATCCATCCATCCATCCATACATACATACATACATACAAATAACATATATATATATATATATATTGATGTATGTATATAATTGAATGAAGAAATGCACATACACAGACATTTACTGTAAATACTTTTGCAGATCCATGGAAGCAAACTCACGGCCATCGAGGCATCCTTGGAAGGACTGTGCTAAATTGGATCCTGGTCGCCCTGTTGCATTGCCGCTTGATGTGAGCCCCTTAGACCTGATACACTGAGGTTATCAGCGCAAAACCACACAACGGGAAAGGCTGTGTATGTATGTTGTATGTAATAGACCTACGTAATGTGAAAACAACTCTAAATGTAATGTCATGTGATGCATCCTGGCGTGTTTGTACAGGCTAAACAGACCGGTTCCCAGTCTGAGATGTACACCAGACAAAGATCTAATTATAGTAGGCAGCGTGTGCCGCCCCTTCAGCTTCAGGTGAACCGCAGCCAGAGCTGGAGATAGAACAGCAACAGCCAATGTGTCACGCAAATGCCATGGTCAGAACAAAAAACCCGCGGAATGCAGCTGGATGGAGGGGAGACATGATGAAACATGGATAAACCTGGCCGATTTATGGCTGGGAATCATGACCCAACAAGCCAACATGACCCGAGGTAAGGGCTTTGGGGTCTCAAAAGGTGACCAGTTCACAACGCCAGATCAAGGGGTCATCCAACATGCGATCCATTCTTGTCCGAGGGGTGATGAGGCACCGTTTGGATGCTTAAACTTTAAACACCATAGGTATCCATAGGTGTTTTATGAGTAATTAATGCCGGTATGGGTCGAAATTTGAGGGCTGCAAAATTATATCGGGCAACACACCTCCCAAAATATCCAAAATGTTGCGCAAGTGGGTAGACCCATCAAACGTGCCGAGTCGGTTGTTACGCCTTTTAATGTTTTTTCATGTGGTTTTCACCAAGAACAGGGTATACCCCAAATCATTATATTCCCCAAAACAGGCGATCAACTTGGCATATGCCCCATTTGTCGACACATTGAGGCATTTCTAGACCAACATTGTTTTCAATATATATACATCTCATATCATTATATATCCATATAATTTCAAACCATATCAAACCATCAACACCCCATCAGCTATCAAACCATCAACATCCATATGGTGTGTAGTATTCATGCATATTAATCCACTATCAGAGCATATAAATCCACCATGAGGCCACCATTAATCCATGACCCTGCAGGTCGCCGCCAGGATTATTGGCCTGGTACGGACCGAGGTGAAAGGCGCCTCATTACCGAGGCGCTGTGGTGAACTCACCCAGCAGTTGTAGACCAGTGTCCTAGGAAAAGCATCGGGAAAACCATCGGGAAATCATAGGGAAATCACAATTTTCTATGCTAAAAAGGTGGTTCCTTCGTATTTTTGGGGAAGCATTGGGAAAGAACTTGGGGAAGAAGGATCATCATCCTCACTATCCTCACCATGATTTTTGAGTCAAAAATGGTGAGGGGCTGGATGATCATGGCCATCATGCTGCTATGGCGATGGCCAAAGTGGGGAACGTGGATGATCAGCAAACTCATTTTCTTGGGGCACAGCATTTAAAGACAATGCCAGTTGATGGTATCCCATATTATAGATATGTATATGTGTAATCTCAACATATCTCAGCTAAGTTTCATGATAGAGAGCCAGGGACTGCCCACCCACAGGTGTAAACCACCATTTTGGAGTTTAACAACATTATATCATATCCTAGCGTTGGATTGGTAGAATCCTCGGTCAGCTTCTGGTACTTGCGCACAGTTGGCCATGGAAGATGGCCACCTGACCTACAGATGATTTATGATGATTTAACCCCTGAAAAAGGGCTTAACTGCCGTAGCTATCTTAAATATTCTTAAATTACCAGTCTGTATTACCAGATGGTGGCGACGTTTTGAAACGACCAAAAACCATCGCAAAAAACCATCAAAATTGGTGACCATTGTCACCTTTCTTCCCATCGTGGGCAATATCTGATCGCAGGTTCGAAACAGAAATGGATCCGATGCCTTTGACCGGCTCTGAGGTGCGCTATGGAGGATGTAACAGGGGCTACCCCCATGACTTTGGAAACTTCCAAATGATCCAAATTGGGATGCTGAAAAAAGTGTGGATCCCTCAATGTATTGCAGACTTTCAATCAAGAGATCCAAGAGGCTTCAAGACTTTCTCTTACGGAAATGTCTCTAGCTGACAACATCTTGGTGATTTCGAGTTTGGGAAGGAAGACAAACTGCTCAATTGCGGTGTTTCCAATGGTGGGAGCAACCCTTTGGTTGACATTTCATGACAACCAACTGTTGACTCAAGCTTCGTAACTACCACTCCTCTATGCACTTCGGGAGTTGTCCTGATGCCGTTGCGATTGCTGCTTCTACTCGGCATTGACTTTGCACATGCAGATGAGCTCTCAGCTCATCTGCATGCGCAAAGTCAATGCTAATATGTTCACCTTGGGATTAGGTGCAGGCCTACTGGGCATGTATCCCTGCGGTCTGGATAGAACGAACGAGAAGCTTTTTTGGGAACACAGCAGCGCCCACGGGGATTCTGCTCTTCTTTGGAGTGTTGGACAGAAGAGCATTCGAAGTGCAGGATTGAAACAGACATATCCTGACAATTTGGATGCCTGTCTCCCCGACCAGGGCATAGTCTTAAGGCCATGCGTCCATTACGAGCAAAGCCAGGAAAGTGCATGGATTACAACACAGAATGCCAGCGCAGGGCTTGCAGCCTTTCTGTCCTGGTGTATCACTGGAATGCAAGACGGAACGCTTCGAAGTGGGTGATCGAGCTGAGAAATGGCATTCTTCACCAAGAAGGAGACTGGATATGACTTAGATTGACTTGGTCTCATGTGGGTAAAACAATAATAAACCATCCCCCAAATCACTATAATTAAATAGGTGGTATAAACATGTATAAACCATCCCCAAATGGGTGGTTTATGGCATTGTTTTACCCACATTACATGGTTTCACAGGCACTGGCCCGGCACTGGCGAAATTCATGGCATTCGTACATCATTCGTACGGCATACTGCTTATTACATCTTATTACATATTGGTTGAATTTGGCTGATGGTTTCAAACATGTTTCCTATATTGGTGACTTACATCCGTGCCTGCAATGATTTCTCCCTATAACCCCCAGTGCGCATGGAACAGCACTCAGAAATTTCTCAGAGTTCGTCCAATTTTCATCGCGGTTGACCTGAAATCTTCAACAGGCGTCTACAGAGAAGTGTATCCTCAATGATGAGGGTTTGATGCTGCTGTGTGGCGCAAAGGCCTGATTGAGGGTTGCCAATCGGGCCATTGGCAAAATGGGTCAAGGCACAGAAATTTTGCACACCGGAGCCAACATTCGATGGCCACGACTCAATCAATTTGAGATGGCCCCGGGGGTTGGTTCTTATTCTACCTTTTATGCCTAGGATTTTTCAGGGGATTATCATGGATTATCAGGATCCATGACCTGAGAATCCCCATTAATGAAACATCGTTTTGCAGGGTTTACATTTGCGGGGAAAGATGTTGGCACCATGGCCAGCTGCTGGCACCTCTGACGGTAGATCCAGGTGCTTTGCTCTTTGAGTTTGCCCTTAGTCCAGCTTTGCGTCATTGTTGCCGCACAGGTGCAGCAGCTGTGGGTCAGTGGTTCATGTTGGGTCGCAACCTGCTGCCATCCAAGGTTGACCACATAATCCCTTCCCCCTAATACTAAACGCCCCCCCATTAATAAACACCTCAGGTAGTTTTTAGTATTAGGGCGGTATTTATTTAAATAGGAACCCTATTAATCAAATTAAACCCTTCATAATAAAAACTATTCTTTCCGATTTCAAAATCAATTAAATTTCCTTATATAACGCGATTAAGATATTGCCAAAAATTAGATTTCGAAGCGGACCCTATTAATAAAATTAACCCCTTAATAATAAAAACTATTTTTCCGATTTCAAAATCAATTAAATTTCTTCATATAACGCGATTAAGATATTGCTAAAAATTGGATTTCGATGCGGACCCTATTATTTAATTTAAAACCTTAGTTAAAACAACTAGTTTGTTCGATTTCAAAATCAACTAAATAGCGCGATTAAAATATTGCCAAAAAATTGATTTCGAAGCGGACCCTATTAATAAAATTAAACCCTTAATAATAACAACTATGTTTTCCGATTTCAAAATCAATTAAATTTCTTCATATAACGCGATTAAAATATTACCAAAAATTGGATTTCGAAGCGGACCCTATTATATAATAAAATTAAAACCTTAATACTGAAAACTAGTTTGTTCGATTTCAAAATCAATTAAATCTTCATATAGCGCGATTAAGATATTGCAAAAAATTGGATTTCGAAGCGGACCCTATTAATAAAATTAAAACCTTAGTAATAAAAACTGGAAAAAATCGGACGGACTCTAATAATAAACACCCCGGGGTTAGCTAGCTAGTTTTTATTATTAGGGGGCAAAACCCACAAATGAAATGGTAGCTTTATTTTTAAATTGTTTTCTAAAGGGGATCAATTAAAAATCAAATTGGCCAATCTGAAATTGTCCAAAATTTCAGATGGACCCTAGTTTTTATTATTCGGGGGGGGTTTAGTAATAGGGGGAAAGGATTAATCACTAACGTAAAGATGACAAAGGACACCATTGACGATTTATTGCTCCTGCCTTGGTGTGTCCAAGGATCAAAATGACCAGTGCGATGTGCCAGCGGCCAGGTTTATTTGGGTGAAACTGCATGGGATTCTGCCAGCAAAAGCTTTCAGGCGCCGGAGGTGTCACTGGATGCCACCAAGTGCAAGACAGGTGTTTCTGATGAGGGCAGATGCATGGAGTAGGTCAGGTAGCGACTATATGGATGTTGAATCATGTGCACACATGCAGTATGAAATAGTGAAATTTATTTTTAAATATATACATATACTACAATATGTCAATATATGTCACATTATATCATTGAATCACACGTGCAAATGGTCTACGCAAATTGTTTGGTGGATGTGGGGCCGCGGATGTCCGAATCATGGCAGGAAAGATCCTGGGAGCACTACGCCCAACAAGTGTCTGACTTTGCAAAGCAAAGGCCACTGACCTTTTTGTGGGTCTACTTGTAGTCAGGCCGT